GCTCAGGCAGTCCACTCACCTCGGCCTCCCAAAGCACGGGATTACAGGCTGAGCCACCGAACCCGGCCTCTTTTTTGTTTTTGAATCGGAGTTTCACTCTGTCCCCCAGGCTAGAGTACAGTGGCACGCTCATGGCCACCTCAGCCTCGACCTGCTGGGCTCAGGCGATCTTTCTGCCTCAACCTTCCAAGTAACTGGAACTACAGGCACGCGCCACCACGCCTGGCTGAATTTTTTTTTTTTTTTGTAATTTATTGTAGAGACTAGGTCTCACCAAGTTGCCCAGGCTGGTCTCAGTCCTCTCGCCTCTGCCTCCCAAAGGGCTGGGATTACAGGCTTGAGCCACCCCGCTGGCTGAGGGCAGAATTCTACACATATTAGTATTGGAAGTGAGACATGTTATGTCCTTATGTCCACTTACGGGAAAATCTGGAGTCCAGGAAAGCCCAAGGAGTTCCTATTGTTTCTACATACATGTACTCACGCAGAGGCTAGTAACACACTTTTTGCTGCAGAATGACTCGCATTGGAGCCTTCTGTGCCAGGAAGAGGGGACCTGGTTTTTGGCTGGAATCAGGGGCTCCACCAGTGGCTGTCTACGTGCCCGCACCTTCTCCCCACTGCAAATCCATGGCCCATGGATCAGCCATGTGACCCGGGAAGCCTACCTGGAGGACCAGCTAGCCTGGGACTGGGGCCCTGAGGGGGAGGAGACTGAGACACAGACTTGTCCCCCACACACAGAGCATGGAGGTGAGCAGGGGGCCTTTGGGGCTTAGGGGCTCCTGGAGATACACAGATCCATGAGAAGGGCTTCAGGGGTCAGCTGTGGGTCCCCAACTGAGGTGGCTACCTCCTCTCCCTAGCCTGTGGCCTGCGGCCAGAGGCTGCTCCAATGGGGGTCCTGTGGCCCTGGCTGGCAGAGGTGCATGTGGCTGGTGATCGAGTCTGCACTGGGATCCTCGTGGCCCCAGGCTGGGTCCTGGCAGCCACTCACTGTGTCCTCAGGTGGGTCTCACTCATCTCCTAGGCAAGAGGCTGGAGGGAAGAATGGGGAGATGAGCCAAAGGGCTCTTCTGTTCGTGGGATTTTTCTCCCTTTAGGGCTCTTACAGGGAAACCGCTGTGAGATGTTTTGAGACAGAAGACAGATTTGGAAGGAGGCATAATGGAGTTAGTGGCATGTCCGTAGAGAGTCATTCGACATTTCCCCTGGGCTAGGAAGGACTTTACCAGTCATGGGAGGAACAGAAGGTGACACTGGACCTTGTTCCAACAGGCTGGGCTCTACAACAGTGCCTTACATCGAAGTGTATCTGGGCCGGGCAGGGACCAGCCCCCTCCCACAGAGCCACCAAGTATCTCGGTTGGTTATCAGCATCCGCCTGCCCCGGCACCTGGGACTTAGGCCCCCCCTGGCCCTCCTGGAGCTGAGCTCCCGGGTGGAGCCCTCCTCATCAGCCCTGCCCATCTGCCTTCACCCAGGGGGTATCCCCCCGGGGGCCAGCTGCTGGGTCCTGGGCTGGAAGGACCCCCAAGACCGAGGTGAGAGCCCAGGATCATGGGAATGGGGACTGCCTGGAGGCCACAGCCCTGGAACAACCCTCTTTCTCCTCTCTAGTCCCCGTGGCTGCTGCTGTCTCCATCTTGACACCTCGACTCTGTCACTGCCTCTATCAGGGCATTCTGCCTTCTGGGACCCTCTGTGTCCTGTATGCAGAGGGACAAGAGGACAGGTGTGAGGTACAGGGGCCTGGGAGTCCTGATCACGGGAGGGGAGAGGTGGTGCCGGACAGCTGCACCCTAGAGAGAGACCAGGGGCCCAGATGCCTAAGGATGGACAAGCAGTGCGTTGCGGCTGGACCCTAGGGGAAGGTGCAAGGGACCAGGAGGAAGGGTCATAGACCCATTTGGCCTTGCCTCTGACTCTGCAGGTGACCTCAGCACCTCCTCTTCTGTGCCAGACAGAGGGAGGCTCCTGGGTCCTCCTGGGCATGGCTGTTCGAGGGAGCCGGGAGCTGTTTGCCGCCATTGGCCCTGAAGAGGCCTGGATCTCCCAAACCGTGGGAGAGGCCCACTTCTTGCCCCCCAGTGGCTCCCCCTACTGGCCCTCTGATGGCAGCAACCTCTGCCCTCCAGACATGGCTAGGGCCACAGGCTCCCCACGGGCTGCACTGTTCCTGCTGCTACTGACTTCCCTGATCCAGAGCTGAAGGGGTCCAGGTCCCTGGGCCACTTCCCCCTTCTCAGCCCTCCTTTCCCACCTATTGGGGCTGGAATGTGGCCCAACCGGCTGGTTCCCATGCCAGAACCTCTGAGGGCCCCACCCACCTAGACGGCAACGGCTTTAGATCATTGAGCCTCAGTGCTCTGCTATTTTGGGCCCAGGAATCTTTGGGGGTGGCAGGTGGAGTGAACAATAAAGGTGTAAACACAGACACCTGTGTGGCCTTGTGGCATCACTGGGGACAGGTTGAGGGGCCGAGCCTCTGAGGCTAAGGGGGATGCCCAAGGGGTAGGGCCCCTCCCTCCTCAGGCCTCCATGAGTCAGGCCTTGGGCTCTCGGGAAATGTGCCCCTGATAACGTGGCAGCTATTCCCTCATTCCTGCCCCAGGGTGGGGAGGTTGAGTGGCCAGCTGGTTGTGTGTCACCTCCCCAGTGGAATCAGTGTCCCTAGCACCTACTGGACACCTCAGCCCTAGCTGGGGGAGGTTGGATGGCCAGCTGGTTGTGTGTCACTCTCCAGTGGAATCAGCATCCCCAGCACCTGCTGGATACCTTACATCGAAGTGTATCTGGGCTGGGCAGGGGCCAGCTCCCTCTGAACTCTAGCACAGACCCTGCTGTCCCCCCAGAAGGAGAAGGAGTTAAGGTGAGAGTCAGAGCTGTCCCCCGTACACACACCCTGACAAATGATGCCCTAAAGTGTCCCCAGCACACATATGACAATTGGAGTTGGCCCCATCAAGCCTCCACGTACCTTCCTTTCTTTCTCTTCCCTCCTTCCTTCCCTCCTTCCTTCCTTCTTTCCTTTCTTTTTCTTTCTTTTTCTTTTTATTTTTCGAGTCTCGGTCTCACTCTGCCACTCAGGCTGGAGTGCAGTGGCACAATTATGGCTTACTGCAGCCTGGTCCACCTGGTCTCAGGCAATCCTTCCACCTTAGCTTCCCAAGTAGCTGGGACTACAGGCATGCACCACCACGCCTGGCTAATGTTTTCATTTTTATTTTTTTGTAGATGAGGTCTCATTATGTTGCCCAGACTGGTCTCGAACCCCTGAACTCGGGCAATCCTCTCGCCTTTGCCTCCCAAAGTGTTGGGATTACAGGCATGAGCCGCTGCAACCAGCCAGGACTCCACCACTTTCAATCCCACCCAGGACTTGGGCCCCTTTTACGTACATCTCACGCCCTCACCCACTGCTTACCCTCCCTGCATTCATTCAGCCCACAGTCCCTGCTAGCTACTAAGTCATGGCACAACTGGGGCATAATATATAAGCCCACAAAGTGTTCCCGATCTAGTGGGGAACACATACCGACACGCCTGGCCAGGGATTAGGAAAGGGTTTTAGAGGAAGTGATGTTTGAGCACAGAAAAAGGGCAAATGGGTACCTGAGGGGAGGGAGGCCACTGGGGTGAACGCCAGCTGCTAAAGGTGGCAGAGGGGTCACCACTAGGGAAGGGCACATCTCTGGGTTGAAAAGGCAGAGGATGGGGGAGGAGGACCCAGAAGGAACCTCTCCTTGTGGAGAGATTGAGAAGAGCAGAGGGTCTTAAAAAGCCAGGTTTATCCTTAGCTGCCAGACACCAAATAGAATATTCCCCAGGATTTCCACAGGGACTTACACCCCCACCAGCTCTCCATACCCAGTCACCCATATCCCGTCCCCCACAAACACTGAACATACCCCAACCGCTGTATCCCACTCACAATGCCCAATGGAGGCTCCTCTCCTCCCCAGCTTAGGCCCCTTCCCGAGTCAGCTCTCTCCCACTCACCAACCCCAGGAATCCCTTCGCTTCCGGCCCCAATCTGAAGGCCTGGCTCTGAGGTCCAGACACCTAGTCTTATGGGAAGTAGGTGGATATGTGAGGGTCTGTTTTCTTGAGGCTTAAACCCAACAAGTATTTTGAATTGCCACCCTGACCCCAGTCACAGGGGCAGGCTTCATTCTCTGTGTGCCATCTTCCACTTTGGAATGCCTCCCCTGGATCACTGTCCCCTCATTTTGGCCTTAACACAGTCTCATAACTCAGTTCTCAAGGCACTGCCTCAAGGACTCCTTCACTGTATCAGTCTTTGTCGAGCTGCTGAGCGCTCATGCCATCCTTGCCCATGACAATTCCTGGCTTGAAATTATTCTCTAATTGTTTGTGATTATTCGATTCATGTCCATCACCCCTACTTCACCGGAAGCTCAGGGAGGACAGAGCCTGTGTCTGTTTTGTCCTCCGAGCCTGGGATGCCACCATAGGCATTCAGTAAATATCTGTGGGATGATTGGCACTGCCGCGTGCTCACCACCCGCCCAAGAAGCTGGGTTTCCCAGAAAGGTTCTGGAATGGCCCTAGCCTGGGGCAGACCCTTGTGTTCTGGGCTTCCATACTGGCCTCAGGAGGGAGGAAGGAGTGGCTGTGGCCCCAGGATAATAAAGGTGGGGCCAGGCCCTGGGGGGTATAACTGGTCTGAGAGACCGAAAAGACCTGGGGCCAAGGACAGTTGTGTCGCACTCCAGGAAGGCCAGCCATTCGGGTTTCCAGCCCAGCCTCAGGCTGCTGTCTGGCTGGCTGGGCAGCCTCACCCCCAATCCACCCCCCACACATGACCTGGGGTCTGAAAGGACTCAGGACTTTGGTGGTTTCAAGAGCTGGCAGAGTTGAGCTGGAGGGCGGAGCCAGAAGATGGGCGGGCAGGTAGGTGCATATTCGCTAGAGGATCCACCACTCCTGGGCGGACTCTGTGCGGCCAGGCAGTGCCAGTGACACATACACACTGTGGAGACTTCTGGCGTCTTCCCCTGTGGCCGCTCCCTGCCTTAAAAGCCAGCCTTGGACACCTGCTGCCTGTTCCCAGCCTGGATTCTAGGATCCCTTTCCTTTGAGTCAACACCCGGAGCCTGCCTTCAAAATCAGCACTAGGTTCTTTCCCTTGGGTACCTGGTGTGTCCCCTCCAGGGGCCCCCATCCTGGGCCATGGCCCAGAGGGCGGGCCTGGGGCCTGGGCAGCTGGAGGCTGTGGCCATTCTGCTCTGTCTTGGACTATTCTGGTCGGGAACAGGTGAGTATGTGGGGGCATGGGGCTGGGGGTGGGTAATGCTCTGGAGGGAGCAGGCATAATTATTTTCTGAGGCACATCCTTACCCGGGGTTCAAAAATTCTCCTGCCTCCCAAGCTCTCGGCCTCCCTCTCTAGGGAAGGGGCCAGTCCTCTGGAGAAGTGGCAGGAGCTAAGAGGTCAGGGAATTTGGGTCTCTTTTATTTACCTCTCCTTTTTCTTTCTTTCTAGGAACAGAAGGGACTGAAGGTGAGGCTTGGCAGTGAATGGGGGAGGGGAAGGGGGCGGGGACACGGATTCAGATTCCCTTGTGTTTAATGACCCTCTGCTGGGCTGTCCCGCCCACCTGCATTCTCTTAAATCTCCCAATTTCTCTGTGAGTGGGGTATTACAACCCTTTTTTCTGGATAAAGACACTGAGGTGCAGAGAAGCAGGGACTTGCCCAAGAGCACACAGCCAGTAAGTGGTGTCGCTGGGGTCTGAACCACAGGTCTGACTCCCAAGGTGGGGCTCTCCAAGTGGCTTTGAGAGAAGCAAATTAAGGGTCTTCTTTCTTCAACCTGACTCTGAGTCAGACGGGTTTTCAGTCCTGGCTTCCACTGCCTGGCTGTGTGTCCTTGGCCGAGTCTGCTCACCTAAGCCTGTTTCCTCACCTCTAAAATCAAGTTGCTTATGCCAATATCCTGGGACTGTAGTGAGGATTGAAGGAGATAAAGGAACTGAAAGCCCCTTCAGAGCCTGGCACTGCTGGAACACTCACTAAATAGTAGTTATTGTTATGATTATGAGGGAGAGGAGGAGCAGTCTGGCTGGCAGTTTTCTCTGCTCCCTGGAAGGTGACTTTGTGAAGGGTAGTTGGGCTGCACTCCAGTGTCCTCGGTGGGGGTGGGGCTGGGGCTGGCTTAGAAACTAGATGTTCACATCATGGAAATTCAGTCCTGTTCGTTTGTTCAACGTATGTCCATGACTCTGTGGGCAATAGGGACATGGGAGTCCCCCTAGGAAACGGCCAGGTTAATGTGGGTGAAACACAGTTGCAGACACCAGGAAAACTGTGGGGTTAGGTAGTGTCGGGAAGGCATGAGGGCCCTGGGAGCCCAGAGGCAGTGCCCAACTCAGCCAGTAGGGTCCTCACAGGCTACAAAGGGGCTGCCATTGGAACAGTCTCCATGAGCAGAGAAGTTCGCCAAACAGAGTAGGATGGAGAAGGGTATTCTACGCAGAGTGGTGTTGATGAGCAGAGGTCCAGAGGTGAACAAGCAAGACAAGAAGTGCCCAGAGAAATGGTTAGAGTAGATGGCAGTGCCATGGAAAGTCTGGAATGTTTCTTAAGAGCGTGTGGAGCCATGGAAGGGTTTCAGCAGGGATGTGAACTGGTCAGATTTGTGGGCTATGAAGACCTTCAGACTTGTAGGGAGTGGATTGGATGGAAAGCAGGAAGGCTTGAGAGGAAGGAGGCTGCCATGAGATTAAATTAGGTAATGGAAGGCCGGATGCAGTGGCTCAAGCCTGTAATCCCAGCACTTTGGAAGGTTGAGATGGGAGGATTGCCTGAGCCCACGGGTTCGAACCCAGCCTGGCAAGCTCTCTTCTCTACAATAAATAAAAAAATTAGCTGGGCGTGGTAGCACACACCTGTAGTTCCAGCTGCTCAGAAGGCTGAGGCAGAAGAATCACCTGAGTCCAGCAGGTCGAGGTTGTGGTGGCCATGAGTGTGCCACTGCACTCCAGCCTGGACAACAGATTGAGACTACAACTCAAAAAAAAAAAAAAATTAGGTAATGGGTAGTGGAAGGCAAGGGGCAGAACTAGGGTGAGCCGTGGGATAGAGACTCGGGGGTGGTTGACTTCTGGGAGCCCACTTCTCAAGCTCTAAACCAGATCTCCTGGAACATACAGCAGTGGCAGAGCTAAGGACCTGACTCCCTTCCCTTCCTCCTTGGGCAGCCCTCTGCGGTGTGGCCTCCCAAGCACGCATCACAGGTGGGAGCAGTGCAGTCCCTGGTCAGTGGCCCTGGCAGGTCAGCATCACCTACGAAGGCATCCATGTGTGTGGCGGTTCTCTCGTGTCTAAGCAGTGGGTACTGTCAGCTGCTCACTGCTTCCCCAGGTACCAGCTGGGTGGAGGGTAGAGGGTGGAAATCAAAGGTGGGCTGGAGGCCGAGCACAGTAGCTCATGCCCGTAATCCCAGCACTTTGGGAGGCTGAGGTGGGAGGATTGCTTGAGCTGAGGAGTTCATGACCAGCCTAGGCATCAAAGTGAGACCATATCTCTACCAAAACATGAATTAACCCTGGTTTAAGCCTGTAGTAGCAGCTACTTGAGAGGCCGAGGCAGAAGGATCACCTGAGCCCAGGAGGTCAAGGTTGTGGTGAGCTGTGACCGAGCCACTGCCCTCCAGCCTGGGCAATGGAGTGAGACTCAGTCTCAAAAAAAAGGAGGGGTTGGGGCTGGCAGTCAAAGTTCACGAGTCAATCCAGGTCAGAGGTTGGGGTTCTTGGGTTGGTTCTAAGGGTATCAGTAAAGTCTGAAAGGACCAGTTAGGAGTGAAGGTAAGGGATCAGAGATGACAGGATAAAAGTAGTGTGCAATTTGGGGACTAAAAGCTTCTCAGAATCGGGCTGGATACTATAAGGCAACAGGAATCCAGGAACAGGGAGCAGTCTCCTGGGTCCCAGCCTCTGTTCCCCTGCCTGCAGGGAGCACCGCAAGGAAGACTACGAGGTAAAGCTGGGGGCCCACCAGCTGGACTCCTACTCCCAAGATACCCACTTCAGCACTGTGGCGCAAGTCATCTCCCATCCCAGTTACCGCCAGGAGGGCTCTCAAGGCGACATCGCCCTCCTCCGCCTCAGCAGCCCTGTCCCCTTCTCCCGCTACATCCGGCCCATCTGCCTTCCTGCAGCCAACGCATCCTTCCCCAATGGCCTCCAATGTACTGTCACTGGATGGGGCCATGTGGCCCCCTCAGGTGCGGTGGGATGCCGGATGCCTAGAGGCATGAAGGGGAGCCTGACTCCGGGTAGGTGGCCCTGGGTAAACATCTTTTACCCCCACAGTGAGCCTCCTGACCCCCAGGCCACTGCAGCAACTTGAGGTGCCACTGATCAGCCGTGAGACGTGCAACTGCCTGTATAGCATCAACGCCAAGCCTGATGAACCCCACTTCATCCAGCAGGACATGTTGTGTGCTGGCTACGTGAAGGGCGGCAAGGACGCCTGCCAGGTAAACGCAGAGGCCCCAGGGAACAGATGAGACACGTGCACCTTGGGAGACAAGGGCTGGTATGGCTGACCGAAGCCTGGGTCCTGGTCCTGACAGCTATTGTGTGGCTTTTCTCCTTAGGGTGACTCTGGGGGCCCACTCTCCTGCCCTGTGGAGGGGCTCTGGTTCCTGGCAGGCATCGTGAGCTGGGGTGATGCCTGTGGGGCCCCCAACAGGCCTGGTGTATACACTCTGACCTCTAGCTATGCCTCCTGGATCCACCACCACGTGGCAGAACTCCATCCTCGTGTGGTACCCCAAATCCAGGAGTCCCAACCTGATGGCAACCTCTGCCGCCACCACCTGGCCTTCAACTCTGCTCCAGCCCAGGGCTTGCTAGGGCCCATCCTGCTGCTGCCTCTGGGCCTGACCTTGGGCCTCCTCGGCCCATGGCATGAGAACTGAGCTACTTGTGCTGGAAGTTGACCCACCCTCCGTTCCTCTGCCTGCGGGGAACACCGCAAGGAAGACTATGAGGTATAGCTGGGGGCCCACCAGCTGGACTCCTACTCCCAAGATGCCCAGGTCAGCTCTCATCTCAGCTACCGCCAGGTCATCTCCCACCCCAGCTGCTGCCAGGAGGACTCCAAGGACATGTGCCTATTTCCAGAAAGGAACCTGACCCCTCTCTGGGGGCCTGGGGCCTGGTTTGAGCCAATCCTTCCTCCCAGGACTCTGTGGGAGGCCTGATCTTTGAGTCCATTCTTCTGAGTTTGCTCTTTAGGACTATAACCCACAGTCACGAGTTTCACTGCCTGTGGTACTGGCCAGAATCTCTGACCACCTCCACCTGCTGTCCACAATCCTATTGGTTGGGCTCCTATGGAGCTCCCAAGGACACTCAGCTATGAAAATGAGCCCTGGCTCCTACCAGTTTCTAGAAGACTGGGCAGCTGCCCACCTAAATGCTGCTGCAGGGCTGGCTCCAGTTCCCCAGCCACCCTGCCTGATGAGTCCATCCCTTTGCCTTCTTCCTGTGTTCTGGGCTTGGGCTGCCTTGGGCAGTTTGTTTTTAAGGACAGGAGAGGCCCCAATCTTGCCCATTGGCCACCGAGCCCCCCTTGAGCCCTGACTCCTAGACTCCGGAGGACTGAGCCCCCACCGGAACTGGGCTGGGGGTTGGGTGGGGGATAAAAGGAGCAAGAAGGAGTAAAATGTTTTGAGCACAACTGGCTGCATGTGTGTGGCGTGAAGAACTTCAGCTCTTGGTCTCTTCCTCCCACCTCCAAAGTCCATGGCCACCAGCAGAATTTACTTTATTTTAAAAAAACAATGAAACAGGTCTGTACATATTTACAGGCTAGGTGGGGCAAGGAGGATGGGTCCAGCAGCAGGGGCACAGGCTGCTCACTTCTTGGAGAGTTTGACTTGCTTGTGCTTGGGGGGGGCCCATTTGAGGCAGACAGAGTCCACTGTGGGGAGAAGAGGCATGAGAGGCAGGGCTGGGCCTGGGCCAGGCCTAGTCACACCTGACTGCACTGCTCTGGGCCCAGGCCAGGTTTCACCTCCTCCAGGTGAGAACAAAAGGGCAGATTGAGTCCTGGGGAGGGGGCAGGGAAGCTCAGGAATGAGCGGCCTGCCCCAGGCTCCCTCCTGAGAGCTGGTTTGACCAGTTTGGGATCATGTGACAGCAAAAAAGAAGCCCTTGGTTCCCAGCAGTCCTTACACCTATCCCCCAACACACACAAACAGAGCAGGCCCCTCACCCACCTGTGATGGGTGGTTTCTTATACTGGGCACTTTTGAGGTGTTCTTCTACCAGCTTGGGGGTGACACATATCACATGCTGGCCCTTCCAGTACTTGACCATGTTGAGTGACTGTAGGGTACTGATGATGTCATTCTGGGTGATACTAGTCATCTGGCTGCAGAAAGGGATGAGAGCAGATGCTGGAGATAGGCTCCTTTGTGGGGTCTGGCTGGGACAGCAAAAGGGGACAAGGAGACAGGATCATGGCCAATCTTTGGACAGCCCTTCCTTCAAGGGCTCCAGGATGCCTCCCTCGCAAGGTCCTTGGTGGACTGCGTGCCTTGGACATGGTTGGGGACCAAAGCCCTCACCTGAGGTCCTTGATGGACAGCGTGCCTCGGAAGTCTCGCAGGATCTCCAGTAGGACCCATGACCAATAGCTGCGGTAGCTGAGTTTGCCCAGGTCAGACAGCGGCTTCTCTGGGGAGCCGACTGTGCTCTCTAGTTTGGAGAGCTCATAGCCTGGCAGTGGTAGAAAGAGGATCCTGAGCATGCAGCCCACCCCGGCACCCCTGCCACCACAGCTGTCCCCTTCCCAGATAGGCCAGGAGCCACTCACTGAAAGCAATGAGAAACTTTCCATAGCCACGGCGCTGGTAGGGGGGCAGAGTCAGGATGCAGGCCACGTTGTTTCCATCTGGGGATTCCTTCTCCTGCAGGGGATGGGTGCTCAGGACCTTTGGGGAGGCTCAGCCCCTACTCCAGTTTATACCCGTCCCTGCCCTCCCCCACCTGAGTTTCCTGATCCAGCACCTTAGAGAAATAGCCGACGATGTGGGCCCCTTGCCTGTCCACCTCAGTCAAGATGTAAAAGACGAAAGGCTCCACGTCGAAGTACAATGTCTTATGGTCCAGGAAGAGCTTGGCCAGCAGACACAGGTTCTGACAGTAAATCTGAGGGGCGAGAGAGGTGGAAACAGGCTTTGGGAGCAAGCACAACCCCCTACCCAGTCTGGGCAGGAGCTGCTGCTTGCTCTGCAAGTGCCAGGCTCCAAAGAGCAGCCAGTTCCAGGCTGGTGGAAAGTGGGCACCTCACCAGAACAGTAGTATTTAGAACTGGAAGGAGTCTAAGAGTCAATTTCTTTTTTTTTTTTTTAATTGGAGTCTCACTCTGTTGCCCAGACTGGAGTGCAGTGGCACACTCCTGGCCACCACAGCCTCGACCTGCTAGGCTCCGGCGATCCTTCTGCCTCTGCCTTCCAAGTAGCTGGAACTAAAGGCACGCGCGACCACGTCTGGCTAATTTTTTTTGATTTATTGTAGAGATGAGATCTCACCAAGTTGCCCAGGCGGGTCTCAAACCCGCGGGCTCAGGCAATCCACTCACTTCAGCCTCCGAAGCGCAAGATTACAGGCTGAGCCACTGAGCCCGGCTTAAGAGTCAATTTCTGATGGACAGAAAAACTGAAAACCAGAGAGCCATTAGCTCTCCAAGAGGTAACGGCAGAGCTGGACTGATCCTGGCTACCCTTCTGAGTACTAAATACAGGCCATCCACTTTATATACAGAATCCGGCTCAGTGTTCACAGACATTAACTCTCACGGGCTGGGTGTGGTGGCTCAAACCTGTAATCCCAGCACTTTGGGAGGCCAAGGCAAGAGGATTGCCTAAGCTCAGGGGTTCAAGACCAGCCTGGGCAACTTGGTGAGACTTCATCTCTACAATAAATCAAAA